AAAAAAAAAAAGAAAAAATTTTTAAAAAAGGCTGGGAAATGTAATTTACTGTGAAGGCTCTGGATGCAATCAATTATAGAAATGCAAGAAAAAGCCAACATGGTTTTAACTTGTATTATTACCATAAATCTCAGTGTAGAAGTTTGCTGGGGTTTTTTGTTTTTAGTATAATCATCTATCACCAGTATCTAGTTCTAGAATATTTTCATCACTCCTCAAATGAACCCCATTCCCTGTTAGTGGTCATTGCATATTTCTATCCCCTAGCCAGTGAAACCCCTACTTTGTTTTTTGTCAATATGAACATTGCCTAGTCTGGACATTTCCTATAAATAGGATCATATAATTTGTAGTCTTTTTGTGTCTCATCTTTTCCACTTAGCATGTTTTTAGGATTCAGTTGTGTTGTGTCAGTATTTCATTCCTTTTTACTGCTGAATAATATTCAATTATGGAGATACTATATACTTTGTTTATCCATTCATTAGTTGATGGACATTGGGTTGTTTCTACTCTTTGGCTATTATGAAATAATGCAGCTCCGCACATTTGTGTGCAGGGTTTTATGTGGACATATGTATGTTTTTCTTGATTATGTACCTTGGTGTAAAAGTTTTGGGTATTATGATAACCCAGTGTTTAACATTTTGAGGGTTTACCCAGTGGTTTCTAAAGTGGCTGTATCATTTTACATTCCTCCCAGCAATGTATAAGAATTCCAGTTTTTCTACTTCCTCACTAATACTTACCACTGTCAGATTTTTGGGTTATAACTATCCTTGTGTGTGTTATCTCAGTGTGGATTTGATTTGTATAATGGTTGATGGTATTTAGCATCTTTTCAGGTGCTGTGCTTACTGGTTATTTGCATATCTTTTGAACTGCCTATTCAAAGCCTCCTCTCTAAATATCTGTCTGTCTCTGCCCCCCATTGTACCACTCATTGAGCTCAAGGCCTTGCAGATGCTAGGCATGTATGTACCTTACCATTGAGCTATATCCCTAGCCCACTTTTCTCCATTTTAAGTTGATTTGATTTTCTTTTTGCTGTTGACTTGTAAGAGTTCTTTATGTAGTCTAGGTAGACATCCCTTATCAAACATCTGATTTTCAAACCTAATTTATCTCTTTTCCTTTGTCACTTAATGCTGCTGGTGTCATATTTAATAAACTGTTTTCTACCCAAAGATCATGAAGGCTTGCTCCTTGTTTTCTTTTAAGAGTTTTATAGTTCTAGGTATGATCTCTTTTGAGTTAATTTTACATATGGTATGAGGTAAGAGTTGTAGCTTCATATTTTTATGTCTTTCCAGTTGTTTTATTACTTCTCACTTGTTGAGAAGATTACTCTTTCCTTATTAGTTTTCTAAGTACCTATTTAAAAAATTAGTTTGTCAAACTGTAAAGGTTTATTTCTGGACTCTCAGTTTTCCATTGGCCCATATGTCTCTCCCTGTACCACACTATCTTGATTATATAGTTTTGCAGTAAACTTTGAAATTAGCAAATATGCATCTTTCAGTTTTTTTTTTTTTTCTTTTCTTTCTCAGAATTGTTGGGTACCTATAACTTTTTAAAGGCATTTATCTTCACTGGTGTACTTTCTTCGGAGAAACTTAGTTATAAATATTAAAATGTCCAAAACAGAAAATTAGGTTGTAGAAAAGGAGCACTTGGGTTTCTTAAGATTGAATCAACGGCTGAATTCCTAAATAGTTTGTTTATTAAACTCCCCTTATTTATGTATATACTCTTCTGGGTATGCACCATGTCTTAGACACTGTATAGATTTCAGGGAAACCATGATGAATAAAGCATGGGCTCTGCAGTGAGCTTAAATTAACTCCTAACTCATGTTTTTCAAGGGAATATAGACTTGACTGTCAAAGAAATGAAAGTAATCCCCATTAGATGGAAGGTTTGTTCTGTTGGCGTTTTTGAAGTCCTATCAGTGCAAATTCCTCTGAAGTTGTTATTTTGCTAGTAGAAATAAAAAAATAAAAATGGATGAAAAAAGAGCGAATATCCTAAAGAAGATTAAACACTTTAGGAATTATAGAAGTACCATATATTCTCATTTACTCCTTTGTGCACATATAGCTCCTTTCATTTAAATGTTTCTTGAAGGAAAGGGCCTTACTTCATTCATATTTCTTATTCCTGCAGTTACCTAACTATACTTCGGAAGTTTTAGTATTCCATATACGTTGGCAGGATGATTGGATGCCATAAAGGAGTGTTCATATAAGCCATAAAGGAGTGTTCATGTTGTGTATCTTTATATTAAATTAGGATTTGCATAGCTTTTGTTGAGTAGCATTCTTGTCCTGAGTGATCTTGGTTTAGTACTTAATGTGAAGTTGAAACAGGCGCACTATATGACATACCTTTAAAATAGAAGATTAATTAGAATCATGAATAACATTGAAAGTAAGCTGCATAAACAACCAAAATAAATTTGACATACACACATGTTGTGAGTAACTTGAGTCCATAATGGTACAGGCTGGAAAAGGAAGTCTTGGACAGAGGTGGAATTTCATCCAGATTTTTAAAAACTGAGGAAAAACAAAGTGATGAGAGCTAAAATGTTTCCAGGTCAAGAGACTGTTTTCAGCGAGTGGTACTTTCAGAGTGGTTTCCTCTCTGATCAGGGGAAACATGGAAATGTGTGGGAGTTTTTGGCTATCTTAGTGTATAGGAGGGCTACTGGCTTTTAGTGAATAGGAGCAGGGGCTACTAAAGTCTCACAGTGTGACATTAGGAGGCTCAGTAGCACCGTGGTTGAGATATACTATACTGGGAGGGAAACAGATTTAGCTATACAAGGAGGAAAGTAGGGTCTGTGAAGTGTTCCTTCCTAAGAAAGTACTTTTTTAAAAAATTGGTTTGTCTTTGTTTATGGCGTTGTAAAAGCTCAGTCAGGAGATATGTGTAGTTAGTTTGGATGGAATACAGCAGTGGGACATTTTAGGAACTGGGGTAGTAGTTTCTATTTGATCACTTTGGGTGATTTCAATTATTTTAACATTCTTTTCAATTACAGTTTGATTTTTTTTTTTTCTTTTTCTTTTCTTTCTTATAGAACGAACCTCTGACCCCAGGTTACCATGGATTCCCAGGGCGGGATAGCCAGGTTGGTATTTGCTGTTTATAACTGAGATGGTATGTGTGTACATATGTGTGTTTTATCAAAGGATACTGTGCTACTATTTGCTGAAATTACTTATTTGGGAAGGTAACACATCTTGTTTCAGCAGTGAATTTGTTGCTAGGGATATAAAAGTATATTCTAAAAATGTTACGGTTATATGATTAAAGTTACAGATATTATAGGGGGAAACAATCACTCAAGTACAGTACTGTAATGATGGATTTTGTTTTTTCTTCTCCAGACTGTATGCACAGATTTTTTGAGTCTCTGCAGTAATCTGCAGCAAGAAAATTCCATTCTCTTTCCTGGGAGATTTTTCAGCCTTATGGTTTTAATCAGGGAAGGCTTGCTTGAGAGAGTGAAATTTCTGCTGCCTTTCTTTGTTGGATAGGGGAATAATTGGAGAACGCTGGGCCCTATTGTGGGGGTCAGAGTAGAACAGTTTCCTATGAGACGTCTTAGTGTGGTTTAGGCAAGTGTGTAAAGCGCTTCCTTTGTCTTTCTGCTATTTGAAGTCTTGAGCAGATGAGTCTGCAACAGGATCGAAGAACAAGTAAAGCTGCCACTTAATGAAATGGTATGGTTTGAGTTATGAGTGAAATTTATTTATCTCCTTGCTGTATGGGGATATGGACATTCTTTGGGAGATTTGAAAGGATAGCTCTTGGAAGTATCTTTGAATGCTTATCCATGATTCTTTATGGGGTTGGAAAGAAAAAAGCCACTATTGGTTAGGCTTGTTCGAGTGTGAGTCAGCATAGTATAAATGAAAAGGGTGACATGGTTCTCCTTTCCAGAAACTAACTGAATCTCATTGGAGTTCCTGAAATTCATCTTAAAAACTAGGATAATCAATAATCACCTACTTGGAGACCTTTCAGATTTGAGAGTATTTACCCAGTTCTTGCATTATTGGTGTTGTTGGCATCAGACTGGCTCCAAGTACGGTATAGAGATAAAGTATTGTTTATGTATCTCAGCTTTCATCTTCCAGTAGGATTATTACCATTGGAATTGAAGATAGAAGCTTTTAGTGAAAGATACCGTCATTATCCCAAATAAAAAGAGAACATCGCAAGTTTTGTTTTTTGGTTCTTGTTCTGTTTTGAATGTCATAAGAGCTTCTGTTAAGTTGTGAAATTCGTGCCCTTTGATATAGATATATATATTTTTTTGCTTCTGAAATTTATCTATTTTTTTTAAATTTTAAAGATGAACGAAAACATTAACAAACACATACATTTACAAAATAACACAAAAATAATACAAGCAATACAGAATTTCAGACAGAGTGATAGGAAATTAATAGTGGTTGTTGTATTACATATTGATATCCTCAAATTGGTTACTCAGATAAACAAATATAGGCATGCAAGATTGAACGAACAACCAGACATTAACTGTTCCTTTCAATAAAGAAACCAGTAGTACAACCATTCTAGCTATCCTGTCTTTTTTTTTTTTTAAATAAAAGAAGGAAAACATATCAAAAAACAGACATCCATTTACAAAATAGCATAAGAACAGTACAAACAGTACAGAGTTACAAAGTGGTAGGAAATTAACAATGGTTGTTGTATTATGTATTGATATCTTCAAAGTTGTTTCTTAAGAAAACAAATAGACCTTTGATATATTGTAGCTATACATCAGAAAAAATGTTGATGCCTAGAGATCCTTTCTCCAGATCTTCTGATTGAGCTGGTCTGAGATGAGGTTAGTTACTGGAATGTTTAGAAACCCCTGAGGTGATTCTGCTGTGCAGCAGAGGCTGAGGATGAGTCCCAGGAACCACTTTTTAAAAGGAGCCATGTTTTCTGTATTTCATCTGGAGCTTTCTCTAGGACATGTAATAAAAAGGAATCATGGGCAGTTTCTTAATCTAATGTTGCATATTAATGCAAATATTTATAAAATGTTGCTCATTTTGGGAATAGGAAGGTAGACATAAATGATATAAGGTGTGGAAATAGATTTACTGAATTAAAGGAATCTGAAAGGATACTACCTAATGCTGTGTGAATTACAGATCAATGAGAAGCAAGGCAAAAAGAATAGGAAAAGCACAAGAAATAGTCTCTTTCTTTGGAACTACTTATTCTTTTCTTTTGCAGCAGAGATCTGCTTTTGTAACATGTACATTTACTACTGATACTGTCTCTGCTGTAGACCTGCACAGACCTCTTGGTGCGGCTTACAGCTGCTCATTTACTTTGAGGCACGTTCTGATGGTGACAAGTTTATTTTAGTTTATTTTCTTGGGTTTTATTTTGTACTTTGACTGGATCTTTGAATTAGAGATCTTAGAGTAGTGCAAATAGGCAAATATTGAATAGCGGCTTGTTGTATTTGATGAATGCAGAATCCAAATGAGTACTGCTAATTAATGCGCCTAACCTTGTGAACTCTCGTTTTGTGCTTTGAGATTTGGGAGGCATTTGTGAAACGCTGGTCACTGAACAGCCCGAACTGGGCAAGAACTGAACTTGTGAGCTTTACATCTCTCCAGTGGGGTTTACCTCAGCAAATCCAGGAGCCAGGGAGTGAGGTGAAGGTGAATTTTAATTGTGTGTCTTTATTTGTTTTCCTTATTCTTTTGCTATCCCTTTCTAAATAGCTGAGAACTGCTTCCAGACAGGAATTTTGTGAGCATCTAATGGTGATTTTAAAAGAGGTAGAAAATAATATTTTGATTGTTACAACACAGTGTCATTGATATTTTCTCATTTCATCCTCCCCACCACTTTTTGAAGTAGATAAGGTGAATGTGTCCTTTGGAAAGATAAGAAAATTGAAGCACACAAGGATAAAATGACTTATCCAAGATGACAGTTCAAGTTAGTACCGTAGTGGGATAAAAACTTAAATTTATTGTCTATTTGAGGACCTTTTCTTTCATACTGCAGATTATTGACTCACTTGAAGAAACGTGCGTACTCACTCACATTTTATTTACCATTTGGGGGCTCTGTAGTCCTTTTGAAGCTCAACCATAGATCTAGGAGTCTACAACTGCTGGATTACTACATTTAAGTTTGTTATCTCTAAGTGGACTAAGCATTCCACTCTTATAGTGACTGTTTTTTAAAGTCATGTTATAAAAGCCTCATCAACACATTTTAATTAAAAATCTGTGAAGAAAAGGAGGAGGGAAAAACCCACCAACCATCTTGTATAGTTTTTGCTTTTTTATGTTAGGTCACCTTAGCCTTCTTTCTTGAGCAGTTAACAAGCCTGATGGGATGGCAGTTCTTTGCTTTTATTAAAGCATTCCAAGCACTTCTTTCTGCTTGCAGATGTGCTCCTTCTGTACAAGTGGAGGAGACAAACATTGTTTGGTTTTACAGAAGTGGAAAGCAGCTCAGAAGCTAAATGTTTTATCTCAAGCCATGCAGATTTTAGGTTGATGGTACAGTGTAGTGGTTTAGATTCCCAGATGGCTGTTTCTTTGTGATTTATATGCATGTGCCTATGCATGTTCTCAGGTGTTGATTAAGGCTAAAACAGTTTTTGGGCTTGAATTATTTTTTTTGAATGGGGTGGTACTTGTGTGTATCAGCTACAGAGTTTTTGTATAGAAGAGGCTTAGGAGCAGCAGCCTGATTCTAAGAGGGCTACAGTTTGCATAGCAAGTTTACTGCTTTAACTTGGCTTCTTAAAATTTGGAATTTTTTTTTTTTTTTTGGTGGTGGGGAGTTCTTTTTTACCTTGTGGTGCCATAACTTTATATCTGGTTTTTTTTTTTTTTTTTTGAGACAGCCTCCCACTATAGTGAGACAGGGTCTCACAGTGGTCTTGAACTCACTGTGTAGTCCAGGCTGACCTCAAACTGGCAATGCTTCTCCTGCCTCAACCTCCTTAGTGCTGGAACTATGTGTGCTACCACATGTGGCTAATGTCTGCTATTGTTAAAGTGAACATAGAAATTTACCATTCAAGTTGGGATACTTTTGAGAGTGAAAAGAGATGGTAAGAATTATGTTGAGACAGCCCCTGGCCAGCTGAGATGTATGGTGTATATGGTCGTTCCTAACTAAGAAGTAGTCTGCTCTCTTAACTGGTGTGATCAGGACTAGTAGGCCATTAAAAGTTTATCTAAACAGTTATTTGAAGTGGAGAAATAATTTAAAACTTTCATTTTAACTTAGAACATTTTATTTGAAGCAATTATATGTTTATTTTCTAGTCTTCTTATAAGAGATCAAAACTTTTTATATACATCCAGATCTACTGATTGAAATACTAGTATATTAAAATTTTTGGGGCATAACCTACCTCAAAGTATGATTGAATTTTAGTGTCTTTTGTATGTGTGTTTTTGTGTTTCTGTATGTTTTTAAAAAACAAAACCGAAGATTTAATGACATTCAAAGCAATCTGGGTGAAATGCCTATATTTTGTTTACCCCTTGTTGCCTAGTCTTTTACAGTGCTTACCCATATCAGATTTGACTGAACACAAATATTTAGTGTCTTGATTTATTATGTATTCTCAAAGCATTTAAAATTGAGCTGTTTTCTTTTTCTTTTCTTTTTTTTTTTTTTTTTTTTTTTTTTTTTTTTTATCCTTTTTGAGGCAGGGTCTCACTTTGTGTTTCAGCAGTTCAGGCTGGCCTTAAGTTTACTTTGTAGCCCAGGCTGGTCTTGAACTCGCAACGATCCTCCTGCCTCAGCCTCCCGAGTGCTGGGATTACAGGTGTGCACCACCATGCCCGGCAAATTGAGCTGTTTTCAAGAAAACTTCTATTTTATTTATATAACATTTAATAATATAATTATAAAAACAATTTCTAAGTTTTTTATCAGCATGTTGATAAATAAACACATGTTGATAAATAAACATGTTTTTTCTTGGTAAAAATACAGCTATGAGAGAAAGAAAGGAGGTGTAAAAAATTTGGTAACTAGTTTCAGGTGGAACTAGTTTAATTAACAAGTTAATTGATTAAAAGTGCTTATTCTGTACTGTAATAAGTTGCTGGG